ATATACAAAAAGAAATCTATTTATTTCATTGCCTTTCTCAACGTTGTTTCAAAAAGATATGTATTAAACAATTGTTATACACCTATTAATTTAATGGAACACACCAATGACGCCGTTTTGAATGATTCTACAACATTTTTTCTCTCAGTGTATACTCAAAAATTGCATGTCCAGAAAAATTGTGCTAGAAAATGGGTGGGAGGCTTTGTTATCTATGGTGGAGTCTCGAAACTTTATGTAGCCTGCCCGCCTTACTGGAAATGGGGCAAGAATCCCTGCTTTTCTGAAGGGTTAAATTAAACCCAATGAAAAAAATTATGCATGCCTTATACACTTTGATTTTTAAATAATTTATATTGAAAAATATAGGTACACAAATTTTAAAAACTGTTATTTTAATAAAGCAAATTTTAAAATTTAACTGTTGCAGTTCTTGTCCAGATTTTTTTACCCTGTGTATTTTATTTAAAAAATAAAAATATTGTTTCAGAGCATATTTTTAATTATTTGTCAAATAAATATTACAAATGATAAAAACAATTTGAAAATAGTTTCAAACACTAAGCCTGTTTTGCGCTTTCGAGCAAATACAATTGTTTTTACCTATAGGGGTATATTTATTTTCTTATAACATGCCTTTAAAACTTGTATTACTGGCAAAAACTGTTAATAATAATATAATATCATATTATTAATATGTATATTCAATTTGAAATGCCTATGTTTTTGTCCCTGAATTTAATTTTCTTTTATGTTTAATAGTTCCTATATTTCTGAGCCGAAAAATAGTCCCCCACTGTTTTATTTGAAGAGCAAGCACATAATTTAAAAATTTAAAAGAAAAAATAAGTTTAAATTGGTCTAAAATTTAAAATTCTTCAAAAGTATTTAAAAAATAAGATACATATTTTTTAAACGCAATTTTGGTTTTATTATTTATTAAATAGTATTTTTTTTTTAATTATCTAGGTATTATTTTAAATAGTAAACATTTATGGTTCGTATGTTTTTAATAATAAAAAATGAATCAATAAATATTTTTACCCAAGTTTAATGTTAGGGGTAATTAGTTTGCAATAAAACCAAAGAAAGTAAAAATCAATTGATTTCAAGCATTCAGCTTTTTATTCAGACAAACCCTAAGCAATTTATTTTAGGTTTAATTAATTATTAACAAACAAATCGTTAAAAAATTTATTTTATTTATAACAGAAGGAACACAATTTTATAAAAATAAAAAAAAAGTCAAAAGGGCCTCATTATTGCATGTAGGTAAACGCCTATTACACCTGAGCATTCGGCCACTCAAGAGTCTCGAGTCAAGTTACATTTCACATCTGTATCATAATGTTGGTATGCTAGATGCAGAAGCATATGCTGAGGATAGCCTCGTTTACAATTTACGCTGCATCTGCTACAGCTTCTTTAGACTCTTGTATTCTTTCAAGAGTTAAAGCTATTGCTTCTTTATTAAAATATTTTTTTTTACTTTGAGGCAATGAGGACCAGGGGGCCTTATTGCCCCAAATTATGTGTAAAAAACAAAATCTTCATAAAAATATCATCGTTTTATAAATGATGATTTTGATGGGAAGATGTATTATATATTGGTTTGCAAGCAAAAGATTAAATAAAATTGTTTATTTAAATCAATTTTCCCCTGTATAAATATAACTGTTAAATAAGATCGAAACGCCAAAAATAATAAAAGAAGACGTACAACTTTAACTATAGATAACACAGACTTTAAAAAATCTACAGAGACTAAAGACACCATTATACAGATAGATCCACTGTTATCTTAAACATATCGCTAACAGCCATAATAATACGGTGGACCTGATTACCCGGTGGGCCCGATTACCCAACTCTCCCCTAACATGGTAGTAATTTCATCTTTAAAAAACTGTTATTTTTTAATTATATCTTTGTGATAGGTATGTTAACCTTCTGAATTTATTTTTTCAAATATATTTACAAACAAAAATACAGTCTATTTTTATCCATATTATAAATCAGTCGTTAACGACTGATATAAATTTTGGGACACATTAATCACGACTCAAATTTCTCACTTGGCGCTCCATTTCAATACCTTTATGTAGACAACTTAAATGAAAATTACCGCTTCTGACCTACAATGACCTACCTATGTTAAGTTCTTTCATTTTACATTAAACTGGAGTTATTTCGTCTTTAACCGTATATCTCATTTAAAAAAATAGACATATGCTGTTAAAGCTGGTAAAACCCACAAGGTGTTTCAAATTTCCGGAAAAAAAACTTATCACTAGTGCACCCTTTATATACTCAAATTTAATTTAATTTAATAAAAAAATCACGAAATTCAGTTTGACGGTTCGCGATAAAATTCACTTTGAAGTTGTGGAAAATTTTTAGTGGTGCGTTAAATTAAATAAAACGTTCTTTTTTAAGTAAAATTTTTTAAATCAATATTTTAATGATTTGATATAAGTAACAATTATTTAATAACTTTAATTAATCCAAGTAATTTTAAAGATTAAAAGTGCACCCATGTTTATTATTTTACTACTATAGTAGTAAAATAATAAAGATGGAAGCACAATTGAATGCCCAGAAAGCAGAACCGACGCACCGCGTGGCCAGTAGGCAAGAGAGGGGATGAACTCGATGGATGGAGACCGTTGAATTTCAACAAAATTCTTTAAATTAAACTCGCGATAACCCCTTAACTAAACGTGCGATTTTTATGAAATTTGGACAGGATACTCAGATTGGTACAGCGATGCTATTAAAATAATAAATAGAAAATAGAAAATTTCAACCACAATTAATTAATGAATGCATCAATATTATTTAAGTCATAACTATGCTTAAACTATTAGATGTTTACAAATTATATACTTATGGTTTTTTTCTTGGTAGAATAATTATCATTTAAAAAAAAATTGTATTATTTTTTGTTCCACTTTTTTTTGGTACAGTCGGTTCAATTGATACATTTTCCAAGTATTTCTTGAAATATTCTGTACCGTTTTCGCTTTCAAAAGGCATTACAAAAATTAGTAATAAATTGTAAGGCATCAGTTCAAGATCCGTTGAATAGCTAAGAGTTTTGTCTATCCAGCCATCAATAAATTATCTACCCCAACTCGCCCCCGGCTCTTTAAAACTACATGTTCTTGGGCGCTCAGGCACGATTTTAAGCGTATGTCGCGCGCGTATCTGTGTTTTTGTTTTACAAAATATAAGATTTTTTTATTTCTGGGTTGCGTTCACGACGTTTACTCGATTTACTCGGATTTAACTCAAAACGTTTATTACGAAAAACAGCGCGCTGCTGTGGTGTCTAGACTTTCACTTGCGTAAATCGTTCGTGACTACTAAGATATTTAACACCGATTTTACATATTTAACCCACCTCTTGTAGCTGCGTTGAAACAACTCCGCATGCGCATTGTAGTGTGTTAATGTCAAATTTGAATTGTGCTTATTTGTGTTGACAATTTTTTTAGCGAATCCAGTGACGGAGATTGTTTAATATATATTTAGGTATTAAATAATATATATAAATATAATAATAATAAACAAAATTAAACTATTTTATAAATTAATTAATTGTATAATTAATTTCGACAATTTTTTGAGGTCCACCATTTTGAATTTCGGAATTATGATTCCATATTCATTATCAGCGACCACAAAAACCCCTGTATGGTGATTTTAAATTTATTCCGTCAATTTTTCGACAAATATGTCCGCCATTTTGGATCTACCATTTTGAATTTTGAAATTCTGATTCCAGATTCGTTATCAGTGACTTCAAAAACCTTTATATACGGATTTTTGGGAGAATCCGACTACTTCTTGATATGTTGCCGAAAATTTCGAGAATTGAAACACTGTGCGCCGCGGGCTCTTTTATTTATTTGTATTACAACTATAATAATTAATTAATAAACGTCAAATTTGGAGAAAAATTTCCTTATTTTACCAAGAAAAAAACCATATGTATATAATTTGTAAACATCTAATAGTTTAAGCATAGTTATGACTTAAATAATATTGATGCATTTATTAATTAATTGTGGTTGAAATGTTCTATTTTTTATTTTAATAGCATTGCTGTACCAATCTGAGTATTTCCAAATTTCGTAAAAATCGCATGTTTAGTTAAAGAGTTATCGCGAGTTTAATTTAAAGAATTTTGTTGAAATTCAACGGTCTCCATGCAGTGCATCACGTTCATCCCCTCTCTTGCCCACTGGCCACGCGCTGCGTCGGTTCTGCTTTCCGGGAATTCAATTATAATTGTGCATTAAATTAATATTTTTAATAATTTGATTAAATATTGCGATAATATTATTTTAATAATCCGTGTATTTTATTTTAATATTTTTAGTGGTTGAAATTTTAATTTAATAATTTTAATTTATTAAAACAACATTTATATTTTAAATGTAATTATAGTCGCCTTTTCCCAATTTAAAACCCAATTGGTTCAAATCACAGTGAATATTGAAATCGGCCAATCACTGACGCCTAACAACGTGAATAATGAGTTCATTATTCACGTTCTTAGGCAGGGAATTTATAATGTTTATCATTATTCACGAAAAAAATAATATTATGTAATAGGAGTAGATACAAATTTGTATGCCCACCTTTTTAATAAACAAACGGACCTTTTTATGTTGGAGGTTGATGTTTAAAAACCCACGATAAAGGGGTAAAGTGGGATGGTAGTTGGAGTGAGGGGTTGGGTTAAGGGTCCATAAGTTCCTCGTTTTCTCCCAAACGTTTTGAAACAACCCCTTTGAAGGTAATGGTTGGAATTCACCATGCAATCCACACAAATATATTATAAAAATTATAAATTAAAAATAAACAATAATATAAATTCATTTATTTTTAAAATTATTTTGAGTGTGACGTGGCAAACCTAGCAAATGTACTTAATCGAAATGAAAGATATCAAGGTTACTTTGTGGCTTCAGCCTTAGGTAGCATACTCGCCTATGAATCTAAAGGTCCGCGGTTCGAACCGACCACACGAAATTACAAACTTATTTCAATTACGTCATCAAGAGGACCTTCGAGGTTCTGGAAAAGAATCCTTCTGGTCATTGTTGTCGACAGCCGAAGACATCTTGAAAAGGACATCTTCAGCACTGAATATTCTAAATTTCAGCCGAAGACATCCTGAAAAAAACTTTTTCGGCACTGAAAATCCTGAAAGTTAACACTTAGTATAACTACTTCTTGCAACGTTTTTCTTGATAATTTATTTATTTAAACCAACTTGTTTTTAGTGACTTCAAACATCGAAACTAATGCATACCAAGAACAAATGAGTTTCTACAACCTTTCCCAGACAAAGATGTACTTACTTTTAGGATGTACGGTTTCTATGGTGATTATAGCTATAATTCAAGCAGGCTGCAATATCTTTAAAAGCTCCGAAAAAAAATCATCAAATCAAAAGGTAACAAATTTTAAATTAAGTTAAAGTTAAATAACTCATAAGTTATAAACATTAAAGAATTTATCAAAATACTTGTGCACACGCAAATTAATTAATTTATGGTTATTATATAAATACCTAATATTTATTTTGACATAAACATCATCCTACATAAATATTTTTTTTAGCTACCTACCTAGGTACTGTTAAAGTTGCCTTATATCTACCAAAAATCGTAAATAAAATAGTACTTTAACCGCAAGGGTAGATAAAATGAGAGGTTACTTTACATAGCTATGTAATAGTCACGTTTTGTATGGCGTCGTCAATAAAATAAATCTTTAAACCGGTTCTGCCAAGTCGTGCACATGACAAAAAACGCGGGAATTTTCCTAATCATTACATATCAAAGCACCAAACTGTATATTTATTTTAATTCTTAAATTACTATTTATACATGGTTAGAAATTACTATTTATGTTAAAGTTTAAATATTTAAACATATGTTGGAAAATTACATCGGCGATGCAAAGTCGTAACCCTGACAACAAGAACGGGAATTTTACCCTTTCTCATCATCAACACAAATCATAGAACAAAGGACACTAATTGAGATGTGGAGATCTCGATCTTTTTTTTTTTATATATGAAGGGGTAAGAAGCAAAAAGTTCCAAGTGCAGAATTGGGTAGTTTGGAGTCAATTTTTTTTAAATTTTCTCATAACGTGAAAATTGTATGAGTTCTGCATGTTGATTAATACAAACATTAAAACAAGTATCCAGATTTTTGTATATAGCAAAAAGTTAATAACTCCACTTCTCTTTTTTGCACTTATATACTTTTGCGTCTTACCCCTTTATAATTATTTTTTATAATTATAAATTACTCTTTATATATAAATATTAAGTCAAGGTCACCACCTCTATATTTAAATATAGGTTTGTCATGAATTTATTTTTATTGGTTTTATTTATTTTTAGCGAATTTAAGATAACACGCCTTTTACCTGATAAAGGGTGTTTTTTTAAGAGGTGGAGAACTTTAAATTGGCAACAATGTTTTCTGTTACAGCCGATTTGGCAGTTCTCGGTTGTTTTGAAGTTAGGTTGGTTTGGCAATTCATCACGAATAGACTCATGCCGAAACAACGTTTGCAAATTGTTCAAATTTATTAAAAAAAAAAAAAACGGTTAAAATGGGGAAACACAGGGGCGGCTAGTGTATAAGGGCTGCAGAGCTGCAGAACTCCCAAAATTTTCTTATTACTTGACTATTTTTTTAATTATTTAATATTTAAGTGCGACAGTGTACCTATAAATATTTCAAACGCAAGGCTGCATAAAAAGTTTTTATTATAAACATTTGCCGTGTCGCCGTACTTGGCCACTACAGTCATCCAAACGACCGGTAAAGGTCTCTAACGCTTAACGCTTACAATACAACAAAGCTGGGCCACTTTCGAGTTCTGGTTCCCATTTCAATACCGTAATTTTGCCCCGCGCCGCTCTTGGCCCTGGGTTAAGATAGTGAAATTTAAGCCAAATCGGAGCTGCACCAACATACAGTTCCTAGTTCCCGGTCGTTTGTTTTTCGCTTCGCGTTCACGTTTGTTATTTTAACTAGAAGACTGTTAATTCTGTGTATTTTTGTTTTTTGTGTTTGTTGTTGTATTCTTTTGTAAGAATGAATGTGGTGTATGATTTAATTATGATTTAATTAATTATCTGTAGGTACCATTTAATTAAATGCCAACTGCGCCACATTTTTTAAAACCCCACTGGCAGAACTCGCAAATTTTACTGCCACGAGCCGCCACTGGGGAAACACATCGGGCATTTTGTGAGTTTTATGGTGCTTATAATAGTCCTTCAAACAGATTAATTCAAGACACTATGAATCGTCTTTGCAATTCCTTTACTCTAAACAATAATACGCATCCCTTAAGACGTCGTACACACGTGATTGCCGGTGTGCAGCGTAGTGTTGATGATGATCCAAATGTGTCAATTCGTCATCGTGCTCAACAATTGGACTTGTTAAACTTGTAAAATTATTTGACGCCATTAGATTATTTTCTTTGGGAATATGTAAAGTCGCCAGTGCTGGATTAACCCATAGGCCAACCTAGGCCATGGCCTAGGGCGCCGCGAAGCCAATAGGCGCCCAGGCAGAAGGCTCAATTTTTTTTAAGTAGGTTGAATTTTAAAATTAATCAATTAAAATAAATAATTATAATTATCAAACGTGTAATACCATTTTTTATTTTAAAAGCACAGATCTTTTTCTAAAAATGTTCAATGCAGTTGCCTAGTAGACGAGAAGACTGCGATCTATAGAAGCAAAAGAAGTCAATAAAATAAATTTTGAAAATATTTGTCAGTCCTTTCCCGAGTTTAAATGCAGGAAAAAAAATTGTAAATCGTCGTTGATAATGCCAAAAGTCGTTTCACTTGAACGCCTTTCTGCCGAAGAGAAATATCCCACAAAAATAAAAAAAAAATATTTTTGTGCAAAAAGGCATCAGTGACCTTTTGCAGTATCAACGACGAAATGTTATAGGTAAAATTCTGTTTTAGGTTATTTAAAAACTGTAAAAATTAAGTTCATTGTTTTGTTTTTCTATATAAAAATGAATTATTTTTTTATTTATTTTTTTGTAAATTTTTTTATAAAACCCTACTATGAGCACCCCTGTCGGCTAACAGGTATTGTGTTATATTAATACCATGTAATTATAGGCGCCATTATTACTGGCCTAGGGCGACAAATTGTCTTAATCCGGCCCTGAAATTCGCATGTATACGCCGATAAACTTGGAAGCCAACATTCGACGATTTATAGCCAAAATACAGCCTGATTTACTGCAAAGAGTGTGTGAAAATTGAACGTATAGATAGCGTCTGTACGCGCCAGCCGCGGCGGCCACATGCCCGAAATAATATTCATTAACATTAACATTAATGCCAAAAAATTATCTTTCAAATAAAGCCAATTTCAGAAATATTAAAAACATTTTGTTGTGTTTTATTTCAATTTAAAGTTCTCCGCCTCTAAAAAAACACTCTTTATAAGACATCTTAAAGACGTTTTTATCTGCAATTGCGGTTACAAATATTATCCGCGAACGTCGGGTTTTATTTGGTTTAATGTCTGCTGTCGTCTGGTTTTATCCGCATATACATGTATTTGGGTTTATATCTGCATTCACCCGGTTTTATTTGCAAATACCTGATTTAGTCTGTTTTTACCCAGTTTTATATGCCTTCATTAACTTCTTTGCCTGCTTACTTCCGGTTTCATCCGCGATTATCTGCTTTATTCGGTTTCACTTGCAAACATCTGCTTTTATCCGCGAAAATCTGCTTTTATCTGTGAACGTCTGCTTTAATCCGCAAACATCTATTTAAATCCGCAAACATCTGCCTTTATCCGCAAACATCTGCATTTATCTGCGAACGTCTGCTTTAATCCGCAAACATCTACTTTAATCCGCAAATATATGCTTCTATCCGCAAACATCTGCTTTTATCTGTGAGCGTCTGCTTTAATCCGCAAACATCTATTTTAATCCGCAAACATCTGATTTCATCCGCAAACATCTACTTTAATTCGCAAACGCCTGCTTTATCCGATTTCACCTGCAAATATCTGCTTTTATAGACGAAGTTCTACTTTCATCCGCGAACGCCTCTTTAATCCGCAAACATTTACTTTAGTCCGCAAAAGTCTGCTTCATCCGATTTCACCTGCAAACTTCTGCTTTTATCCGCGAAGATCTGCTTTTATCTGTGAACGTCTGATTTAATCCACAAACATCTGTTTTAATCCGCAAACATCTGCTTTAATCCGCAAACATTTACTTTAGTCCGCAAAAGTCTGCTTCATACGATTTCACCTGCAAACATCTGCTTTTATTAGCAAAGATCTTCTTTCGTTTAATCCGCAAACATTTGCTTTTATCCGAAATCATCTGCTTTCGTCCGATTTCACCTGAAAATATCTGGTTTTAATTAAAAACCTCTGCTTTTACCCACGTTCAGTTTTATCCGTGATTGCCTGCATTTCCTTTGTCCATTTCGGTCCGGTTTCGTACACAAACGTCAGGTGTCATTCGCGCTTTTTGTTTCCTTTCGTCTTGGGTTTACTTTATTTTAATTTACCTGCTGTGTCAAATTTTACTGAGCTTTAACTAACTTGTTTTTAGCCGTTTAAGGCACAAAACTTTATAACTTTAATGTAATTATTTGAATAAAAACAACCTGCAAAAGAAATAAGTTTATTGAAGTTCAAATTAATTGTTAGAAAAAATATATGTTAAATTTCAAATACATTTGGAATTATAACATCTTCAATACGATTGCGGGGCTGCACTTACCGGATGAAATCAGGCGTTTGCAGATAAAAGCACATGTTTGCGGGTGCAACCGTATGAAAGCAGACGTTCGTGGGTAAAAGCATATATTTTCGGATAAAATCAAATGTTTGCGGGTAAAACCGGATAAAATCAGACCTTTGCGGATGAAAGCAGATGTTCGCGGGTGATTGCAGATGTTCGCGGATTAAAGCAGATGTTCGAGGGTGAAAGCAGATGTTCTCGGATGAAAGCAGAAGTTCTCGGATGAAAGCAGATATTCGCGGGTGATTGCAGATGTTCGCGGATAAAAGCAGATGTTGGCGGATAAAAGCAGATATTTGCGGGTGAAATTGGACTAGACAGACCTTTGCGGGAAAAGCAGATGCTCGAGGATAAAACTAGACGTTTGCAGACAAAACTCGACAAAAATAGACGAAAAAAATGCAGGTAATCGCGGATAAAACCAGACGTAAGCAGATGATTGCAGATGATTCCGTATAAATGCAGATATAAACGAAACGCAGTGGAGCCGGTCAAAAGCAGATAAATACGGATGATTGCAGGGTGCACTAACCAAAACAAATGTTTGCGGGTGAAACCGTATGAAAGCAGACGTTCGCGGATAAAAGCAGATGTTTGCGAGTAAAACCGGATAAAATCAGACGTTTGTGAATAAAAGCAGATGTTCGCGGGTGATGTTCCCTGATGAAAGCAGATGTTCGCGGATGAAAGCAGATATTTGCGGGTGATTGCATATGTTTACGGATAAAAGCAGATGTTGGCGGATAAAACCACACGTTTGCAGAAAAAAACCCGATAAAAATATACGAAAAAAATGCAGGTAATCGCGGATAAAACCACACGTAAGCAGGCGTTTGCAGATAATCCTGAAAATACAGATATAAACGAAACGCAGCCGGTTAAAAGCAGATAATAACGGATGATTGCTGGGTGCACTAATCGGATGAAATCAGGCGTTCGCAGATAAAAGCAACCGTTTGTGGGTAAAACCGTATGACAGCAGACGTTCGCGGGTAATAGAATATGATCGCGAATAAAAGCAGATGTTTGCGGGTAAAACCGGATAAAATCAGACTTTGGCAGACAAAAAAATGCAGGTAATCGCGGATAAAACCAGACTTAGGCAGACGTTTGCAGATGATCCCGGATAAATTCAGATATAAACGAAACGCACTGGATACGGTTAAAAACAGATAATTTTAGATGATTGCGGGGGTGCACTAACCGGACATAAAACACAACCAATTCGCGGATATAGCGGTGCGGACAAAAGAAGATGTTATCAGATGATATGCCTGCTTTTATCCGAAATCATCTTATTTTATCCTGTTTCGACGAAGAATTTATATCCGCAATCATCCGTCATTTTCAGAAGGGATATCATGTGCTGTCTGGGGCAATGATATACAAAATATTCTATTAAATCCAAATATTCAACTGATTGTTTAAATTAATATTATTAGTTGAGGATTTTGATTCGACAAAATGTTAAAGTTAAGAAGAGGTACTTACCTATTTTAAAGCCATAGAATATTTTATATAATTATTAGGGTGTCCGTTATTTACCAAGTTGATTTTTTTTCTTGCGACGCCCCCTAAATTTTTAGTCTATCGTCTAAAAAAAAATTTCAGACCAAAATAAACTCTTAATATTCATAATAAACCTTGCCCCAAAGACGCTACATTTCCCATTTAAATTACATGGGATTTTGACACTTTTTTCAATTAATTCTTTTTTTCCCAGGCAAGATGACTTACAGTAATAAGACATATATATTCTTATAGTAAATTGAACGCTTTACAAAAAAGGTCTCCTATAATTTTTCGATTAAATCACTCGTTAAAAAGTTATTCGAAGTGAAAGTTAAACTCTGTGTACATTTTCTGATTTTTTTTACTTTTACGGCAAAGTTATTATTATTTCAATGAAAGTTATTAGTATATTTCTGAAAATAGATAATTCTGGTGGTATTAGGGTATACAATTTTTAAACCTGGAAAATAATACACTTCATAACAGGTTCTAGTTTTAATCATTTTTGAGACTTTATTTATAACACACAGTCAACTAATTTTTATTGAATTTCAAGTTTTGTATACTTTTATGAAATTTTACTTCAATACAGTAAGTGACTCAAAATTACTCTTACAAGAATTCCCACCAACACACGGAATTTTTATTGACGCAAGCGCGCTAAAGCGCATTTAGTACCTTGACGGCGCTTTAAGTCCTTTTAGTATTGTATATTTTTTATATTGTATACAAATATCTCTGCATATTGTTGTGAATGTTGTGTCGTACATTAACAGTAGTTATTTATATAATAAAACTTATTTATTATACACAAAAAACAAAATTTAGAATTAGTGCAATTTATAACATATAGGTAGGTAAATAAAAACTTTAAAATTAAATTTATATTGCAAATCTCATTGGAATTAAAATTTCACAAATAGTTCTAACCTATAAAAATTTAGGTTCAATGGATCTAAGACAAAATATATTTTTGATTGGAAAAACAATAAGTTCAATTACTGGCAAAAAGTAACCAACAAATAAAGAAGTTCTGCAACTACTGTACCATCACTCAAGAAATCGCAATAAATCTATTGATGACAGCTGTTCAATCGTTATACGTGAAGTTACAGGAATTTGGAGTGAAGCAGTAATTCA